CTGCGTCTCCTCTGTGCCTCTCCAGCCCCTTCCCCAGCTTCTTGTTGACATGATGCCTGGTAATCAGGAATGGTGGGGGACGCCAGCTTGGGGTCAGTTCCAGTCTCTTTATGCTGGACACCCTTGACCCCCCAGGCTGGGCCTGCTGGGGCCAGGCACCCATGCTCTCCCGGCCTCATCAGGAGCAGAAGCTCTGCCCAGGAATCCTTCCACTGTTTCACGGGCCCCAGATGATTCTCCCCCCTTTTTTGTTTGTTTATTTGTTTGTTTGCTTTTTTGAGACAGGGTTTCTACCTGTGTAGTCCTGGCTGGAACTTACTCTGTAGACCTGACTGGCCTTGAACTCACAGAGATCTGCTTGCCTCTGCCTCTCAAGGGCTAGGATTAAAAGCTCTCTCCACTCTTGGAAATTATTATTATTTTTTTTTACATTTTCATTTTATTGTGTGTATATGAGTATATGCACATACAATGTTCTGAAGACGCCTTGTAGGAGCCAGTTCTCTCAGGTGGGTCCTGGGGGTTGAACTCGGATCTTCAGGCTTGGCACGGTAGCTCTACTCACTGGGCCACCCCACCCTGTCCATCTCCCCCATTCTTCAATCCTCTCTGCTCTGCACAAACTCCTTGTTCCCTCTGACTTCCTGCAACTGTGGGTCAAGCCGGCCTGTACCTCCTTTCCTACCTAGAGAGCCAGGCCACCGGCAACACCCCCACCCCCCCCACCCCCACCCCACCCCCCACCCCCCGCTTCTCCCCGCCAAGAGATCAACGGTGACCCACACCCTACCCAGCTGCCCATGGCTCTGAACAAGAGGTGGCCTTTCTCTTATGCCAGAGATCCTTCCCAAGTGCCCCACTGGTCACGTCACCCCACTGCCCATCAAAACCGTCGATGGCTTCCTTTGACCTCAGTGTCCAACATGCAAGGGGAGACTGCTCCCCCCCCCACATCTTCTTTACTACAGCTGGGACAAACACCGTGTCCCTTCTGAGCCCTCTCCGCGATGCAGACGCATTTCTCCGGTCTCTCCCTCGAGAGGGCTCTCAGGGCAGTTCCCCTGTGAAGCCTCCCCTGGTGTCCCCCCCACCAGGAGCACGAGAGTGAGCTACAGAGAGAAGGTAGGCTTGAGCATGAGGGAGACTGAGGGATACCCTCAGCGTACCTCAAGACCTGCTCCCCAGCCCTCTCCTAGGTTGGGCCTGGTAGAAGAACGGCCATTTATTTACCCATGTCTGACCTAGCCTGGTTTGGGATGTTTACCCACAGCAGTGACGCCTGTGTGGAGAGCTTTGGATAAGACAAACGGAAGCGTTTGTTGCCATGTGGACAGCGCCCTGACCAGCTGCTTGGCTTCTGTGATCTCAGAACCTTGCTTTTAAATGAGTGTCGTTCTTAGGACCCCACGTGTTGGGAGAAGTTTCTGCAGACACCCAGAAGTGTCTCCAGTCAGAAGTGTTATTAGCTCACACTCACTCACCTCTGGGGCACAGCAGTGGACATTGGCTTCCCAGAGAAGGGTCTTGACTGCTGTGGCAGGTCAGGGCCCAGGGCCACCAGCAGCCCTGCTCTGGTTTCAGAAGGGAACTTCTTTCTTCTTTCCCGAGATCATACAGGACAGGCGTCCTTGGGTCCTGCTCAGCCTGGGACAAGGTCTTTCACCCCTGTGGGCAGGCAGGCATTGCCCATTTCCTGTTTTTCCTGCCCCAGCCAGCACCTTGCTGGGCCCACACAATCCCGGACTGTAGTGCCAATCTTTGCGCTCACTCATGCTCAGAAGCCTTGTGTCCCAG